AGTAAGAAGATGTAAAATGTTTGAATGTAAAATTGGACATAACTTTTTGTAAATTTAAAATTTAAACACATTTTTGGCTATTTTAAAATGGGACAGACATTTTATGTAAATTTAAGCTGTGTTTAATTTTGTCGCTATTTAAGAATAGGATATCACTTTTGATAATATAAGAACTGGCAATAAATTTTTTTACTTGTAACTAGATATTTGATTATTTAAAAACTGGTTGGTAATTTCAGAAGTGGACGTAAATAACTGCGCTTGCTTTTGTGCAAATTTAAAAACTGTAATTTAAAGACTTGACCAAATTTTTTGACTATTTTAAACTGGCACATATATTTTTGGAAACTTTGATAAACACGAAATTTTGTCCTTATTTAAGGTGTGGACATATTCTTTGGTAATTTAAAAACTGTAAATAAATACATTTTAGTACTTTTAAGACTAGAGATAATTTTTTGACGATATAAAAATTTTCAATTGTATAAAAATAACATATGTATGCAAATATATTTTTGGCTTTTCGATACATGGATTTTTATAAACTGGACATCATTTTAAAGAATTGGACAATCTTTGTAAATTAAGAATTGCGAATTTATTTTGACATACTTCCACAACATAGTTCCTATTAAGTTAGGGAATCCTTAACTTTACTTAATACTTCAAAGTATTTTATACTTAGTTTTGTTTTAAAATTTTTAGCTTTATTAAACAGAAAAATTATTGACCTTTGACATTGGCGGTATGCATCGTACTCCTTTTTTTGCCAAATTAGTTAAATGAAAATGTTACGTATACGCACTGAAGATTTCCAAGATTTGATGTATGTAAATATTATTAAAATAATGCAACTGTAGCAAGGAAAAGTTAAAAGTGGTAAAAAAGCAAGTAATTCCAAGTACTTAAAAGTTAATTTTGCATTTTTCTAAAACAAATTTTCTTTACCCTCTTCTGGCACATTTTTCTTTTTGCTCAATTTGCTAAATTTAAATCTCCCTTAATGACCGCTAATATTATTATTGCAATACTTAAAAGTGCAGAAATGGCAAATATTTATGCGCTCGCCCCAAAGCATATCCCACAACTACTAGTGACTGGTGTTGAAAATAGGAACCATATATTTTTTTGAGAATTATGCACACAAAATTATTATTTTGCTTCAAACGTAGAAAAATGCTGACTAAACGTTGAAACCGGTAAAGTAGAAAGTCCAAGAATACCGAATGTCATGCGCTCGCACTAGTGCCGCTAATTTGAGGTATTAGGTGCTGAAGGGCGTGCAGTTGGTTGGTGGTTTTCGCCACTAAAGTTGCCGGTGTTGGCTAAAATTATGCTAATATGTATATGTATGTACATATGTATATATGTATGCACATAAGTATGTATTTAGGTATATGAAACTGGAAAAAATTGCAACTACTTAAAAAGGCAAAGCGAAAAAATGTTGCATAGTCAGCTTTCTTTTTTATGGTGACCTTTTAGTGTAATGGAATCATTATAAAAGCGTGATTAAAACCACTTGGAGAGACAGCAATGCGAGGAAATAAAAGCATTAGAAAAACTTGTTTATATATAGAAAATATTTTTCAAGGTCAAGCAAATGTTAAATGCCGGTCTCTGAAAAAAACAGCGACAACTTAAAGTCATTTGGGGGTTATAGTGTTCTTTTGAATTTCCTGTTCAAAAATATGATGTCATTCGGATTAAGGTGTTTGAACTTCACCATTAAGATCTAGATTGCATGGGGTTATAAAAATACCGCGATCGTGATCAACGAATCCAAAAACTTAGAACTAAACTGAGTTTAGAGACTATTAACCTCGACTGCTTACCTTCTTTGATAAATATAGAGGGTGGAAGGATCAGCCTATTACTGTGAGTCTCCGATCATTGTAGGAGTATAAAAAATCAGGTAAGAAACTATTTTCCGCATTATCAATTCCTCTGATATAAAGTTTATAGTTGGAAAGGAATATTAATTCTATAGACAGATCCCTTTCATGCTATGTACAAAGTTCTAGTTACCAATATAAAAATTTTGAAGGGTTTGAAATGCCTCGAAGAAAAGAAATAATATTTAGAAGGATTACTGTGGGAAAAATAAAATAATTCTTAAGTATTCTCTGAAAGAGCACTACATACTTCATTTCTGAAGACAGGAGATGGAGAGTAATTTCTCCGTACTCCTTTCTCTGGCTGTGACTCCAAAGGGATTTCTGTATAAATCATATATTTCGTCGTATATCCTATAAAGAATTGAAAAGCCCCTAGACGCAGCACCCTTCCTAAAAGGACACCCAAAGGAGACTGGATTCTACTAAATCGTGTCCTAAGTATAGGCCCCACGGTTAAACAAGCAGTTTGCGTTGGCAGTTTTTTTTGGACATAAGGAGCGTGAAATAACTAACGTCTGCGTAGACACGTCGCAAAGTGGTCTGAATAGAAAATCTAGGGGACAAAACTATTTTAACAGATTCACGTTGCTGGATTATAATTACTTACAAATCTTCAGTCAGGTTCCAAAAATCCAATAGGGCCGATCCAAAATGGCGGACAAATTTTCAAGAATTTATTGAATTCGCTCGGAACTTGTAGCTCGTTGGTTCTAGGGGTCGCTGATTATAAATCTGCCCATGAATTTTTAAAACTGAAAATGGCGAATCCAATATGGCGGAATAATTTTTAAAAATTTATTGAATTCGCTCGAATTTTTTTTATACGGGAGCTTGGTAGTATTTAGGAAATTTTGTGATAGCTGATTATGAACCTCTTGGTTTCAAATATTGAACAAAGTAGGCTATAATTTTCTGTGTATGTGTAGATGTGTGTTTTGATGTTAAATAATAACAATATATCATTAGATTTTTGGCTAAATTTGGCAGACATTTTTTCTTTTAAATCTAATATAAAGTGATCGAAAAGTTATAGCTGCACCACATTTAGACAAGTTTAACATTTTTTGTTACTTAATTTTTGCTATTTTTTTATAAAAAATATATTATTTCTTTAACAAAACCCATGTAAGTCCAAATTTTAAACTTTGTGCAATGTTTAAAAAATTTTTATATTTATATTTATTTTTATAAAAAATACCTAAAGTCAAATAACAAAAAAATTGTATATTAAAATTTGTCAAAATGTGGTGCAGTTATAATTTTCTCGCCCACTGTAACGGTATCCGTAGATGAAAACATTCGTTAACACGTCAAAATTGTGAGAGAAATATTTTCGAAGGAACAAAACTGACGACAAGTATATAAGTAGTAGTATGTGAATGGTATATGCAAGCTCGGCATACATGTACACATATATGTATGTATGTATGTATATTTGTACTTTTTCTGAAGTTTTTGATTTAATTATTTTTGCAAAGTTAATTCTCTTAAACTCTCTTACTTTAAACATATCAAAATCAACCACCAAGCAACTAAGCTTCTTAACTTCGCTAAAACGCACATTTTCTATAAAGTTTTGCACGAAGCCATAAATCTGGTAGCACAAAAAAAGTAAGTTGTGTAGTGAATTAAAGGAAATTTTCAGCGATGAGAAAAAGTTTCGTATAACGACTTTAGACTTTTGCTAAATGTCAACAACAATGAGCTATCGTATATAAGCGTGTAGATATATACATACAAACTAAATATATGCTTTCTTATGTATGTATGTATGTTTGTACATAGTTAGGTAGGTGGCAGTTTTAGTCACTACAATATATTTAAAACTCTTTGTTATTCATGCCACTTTCATGGTTTTGGCTTAAAGTACTTTAGCTAACTTTGCGGATGTGGCAAAAAAGCAGGTGTTGACGGTTTTAGTGAAATTTGTAAAGGCAGGAAAAATTTTCAAGAATTTTGTAAAAGCAAAGCGTGTGGCCGGTAAATAAATGGCAGAATAGGAAAAGTTAATGTCACTTGCTTAAGTTAGTTTAATTTTCGTAATTATATAATTGTACAAGAGCGATGAAAACTTTTTGCCGAAGAAAGCCTACTTCATTCGAAACAACTATAAATTAATTTCATATTAAAGAATTATCTTTACTATGGGCCATTTCAACTATTAGTGCTGCTACAATCCATATCTGGAATGCTTTTTGCTAATTTAAGTAGCGCCTGTATCTCAAATTGAAGGTATCCTCCAGTTGGCCGAACTGAAAAGCCCCTAAGCACTTGAATGGGCCTGCTAAGGGTATAGGGTCCTATTGCGAACAAGTTTGGAATTTTTTCTTATAGGGTGGAGGACCGTCTTCTTACTCTTTGTTAATATTTCCGTTCTGAAAGCTAGTAAGTCATTTTCGGCATTTGTTCAATAATGTTGCGCTTTCTTCTTCAACCAGTTATAATAGTTTCGTCTAACGGGCATATGAAGAGTACCGGGCGATGAACCTCTGTAAAGCCGCTTTACGGACAAGAATACCTACCACTTAATTACGCAAGACTCCATAACGAAGCCGTAAACTTAGATGAAGTAAGCCGGCTTTTATATGCGATGAGTTTTAAAAACAGAAAGCGGTACTCGACCAAGCCTTAGATGACCTCGAGGACTTGCAAAGCGAGGGTATACAAATAAGTTTTAAAGTCATTGGCCTCATATGAACTCCTGAATTGTTATAAGCCAAATAATTACCACAGAGATAACTATTTATATGCACCTAGATTATGGAAATTCTATATATTGTAAGCATAAATGTATATATGTATGTATATGTATGTATATGTATATGATGTATTATGTGTGTAAGTACGAGCCAACTTGAGTTCATTGAATTCATTAGTGTTTCTTTTATAATCTACAAAAGATTTCAATTTTCTGCAATTTATAGTGCAATTAACAATTCTTCTTTGTGGTTGCACTTCCGTTGCGCCAATCAGCGCATCTCTATGGGCACCAATTGACAGCAATGCTAACAAAGCTGCATACGTACATACATACATAAATATAAATTTATATAAATACACAGGAATGCATAAAAGAAAAGAAAGAATATAAAAATAACTCACCGTCCAAGGGAGGCATTTCAATTCGCGAGCTGTTGCTGTTGCTGCTGATGATAAGCATCGTGTGAGTTGCGTTGTCCAGTAACGACAATTTTTGCAAAGCTCCACAGTGACATACAAATCAACTTGCCAGCCATCTTCGCTGATTGAAGTCATAAACTCGATTTGCATCGTCGCCATAGCAGCGTTTACCGAAGAATACCGTTAAAAGATACAACAAACAAATTTAATAAATAAAAAGGAAAATAAAGAATAAAAATCAGAAAAAAAATCTACCGGATGTTGCAAAATTTCTCGTTGCTGCCACTTTTGCGCTACCCACTTTGCGGCTGGTCACCACAAACTTTTGGTAACACTAATGAATTGCTCGACAATTTCCTTTGTACCAGTTGATTGCCGTTTTTGTATGGCAATAAGACGAATTAATTTGTTTACAACTACAGAAATATAAAAATATATATATATGCATGAATAAGTCTCAAAGTGCTAAGTGATTGCTGTGTAATAAGTTATGTCAAAGCAGAGCGCGAAAATAAGTTTATCCTCGACTGTTTAATTAATAAGCGAGTTCAACCAGCCAACTCAGCGTAACTTGGCAGCAATTAGTTCTTATTGACACAAATTCTTTAATAAATTGTGAGCATAATTTCATACTTTAATCAATCAAGCAGACAATTTGAGATGCAATAAACTAAATATTTTTACCACAGCGGCAACTAATAGGCAGATTTTAGTGCTCCTAATGGGATATCAAATTACGCTTTTAATTACAGAGGAGTAAAGGGAATATAGAGATTAGTTTAGAAATTTCTGTGCAGCAGTTAAATAAAGAACTATAAAAAAAGAGTGCTTCGAGTCTCCTTGTTGGTATTTTGGTACTTTCGGCAGTATTGATTCATCCAGATCTAGGAATTTCATCTGACGAATCTCCATGGCAGGACACTTCATTGACAATGAGCCTATGATGTAGTCTGGTAATAAAATAAGGCTGTGATGCTGTGAATATTAAAAGCTGGCAGCCGTTCGATATCAGCTCTTAGATGTTGTTCAATGGCATGAGCCTCAGATCGGAGCATTGTGATACCATATTAGAGACTTATTATGTCCTTCCTCTTACCCTAGAAGTGAAACCACTTTGTCGCTCTGATTAAGCCAAACATTCGAAAGAGTAGTGGAGGAATGACCGTCGACGAGGCCTGACAGTGGAATAGGAAATGCCCCACGCTTTCGATTTCCTTCACATCCGACAGCTACGAGAGTTTTCTGACGAGTAGACCCTACTCCCTACCTTCAGATCTAACTTGGAGTCTACAGAATCAGAGTACGATATCAGGACCGAATCCTCCTCCCCTTCACTACTTGAGGGAATCCTTGTCCAGTAGGCCCGACTGCTTTGTCCAGGTGCCTAAAGTCTGCTGGAAGATCGCACAGAATTCTAGAACCGAACCTGATACCACTCCACTTCATCAACGCGTTTAGTCAGATAGCATAACAACTTGGCAGTGGTTTACCATATGGGTTCACAAGTAGCAAATGTAGCAAGGTATCTAGGGTTTTAGGCGGCGTTGAAGGTAACCTTTGGTGGGGTTTTTTTTTGTAGATTCATCGACGGATGGCCACCGAATCGTGCTACCGTAAAATATAATGGAACGCACCACCGCTGTGTACGCTCAGTTCTCAATTAAAAAAAGTCCCATTTTATTCCTATTACTGATTTACAGGTGTCATAGTCTACGTGCAATGCTCTTCTACATTGCACCGCCAAGTTAGCTTTCTTTCCAAAATGACGCGCAAATATCTAACTCCTTCCGAGAAAGTCAGCGCAACACCAAAACCATTGTCGTTTTTTAGGATCGACTCTGATGCCAGATACCTCGGATCAGGTTTCTACAAAACGTAAAGCGCATTGGACCAGGTCGCGTAGTACTTGGTTGTTAGCGGTGACCTGACAACCTGTACCTTTTAACCGTGGAAGTAGAGTATTCAGCGTGAAATTCTAAAGGAGTGGAGAAAGGACGCCGCCTTGCGATGTACCGCGGTTTGTAGGGGTGCTCCAGCCCAACGTGAGTTAGGTCGCGGATAACAGCTTCTGGGAGAACATTATTGAGGGCACCCTCGAATACTATGCAAAGCGGTATCCACAGGCCTGTCTTTACAGCAGGCATGATGACAGCTAGATTGTTTATTTATATCAATTTCCTGTCGGATCTTCAAGTCCGGTAGTCTTTCTAGAACCTTCAACAAGAAGGAGGTGAGGCTTATCGGTAGAAAGTGGCTTAGCTTCACGTGAGATGGTCTGTCACCTTTGAAAATGAACACAACCTTCGCCAGTGTCCACCCCTTGTGTATGAAACTAAGTCTATGGTAAGGTTTATAGATTCAGACAAGCATAGGTCATAAAATGTCAATGCCTGGAGATTTGTGCTGGAAGGACCTTATGGTCCTGGTAAAGGGTAGCCCTTTTTACATAAATCTACAGATTCCAACAAGCATCCAGAAAGAATGATGCTAGGCTTTTCAGTACACCCTGGAAAGTGTACACTCATTAGAACCCCAATCAATTCCTCTTGGGATGACGACCAGTCGCCATTTGTCTTCTGTATATGTGTAAAATGTATACCATGGGTGTTGGTCAGTATATCAATTGGGCAATCTCTCGAGGATTCCGGTCGTTCGTTGCCTCAGTTGGTCCTATTAGTGAAGAAAAATTACTCTTTAAAATTACCATTCAATATAAAAAATCCTCAAGGAATTTTATTCATGATAGGAGGAAAGGGAAAGGAGAGAAAAAGAAAACTCCCAGAGAATTTCTACTCAGAATCGGCCTGACAATAAGATTTGCGCTCGTGTATTTTAGAAGTTGGGTGGAGCAAAGCAATGCTTCTTTTGACGATATTAGGTTTGTTCCACAAGCTACTTGTAGAAAAACTCGAGCAAAGTTCAAACTGTCAGCGTATATCAAACAAACTATAAAACTTACTTGTGGAACGCGTATATGTAACCCGAAGTGACTTCGAGTAGCTTGTGGAACATAATAGGCGCTCCAGAGACTCAGAAGCAGCGTAGTACTGAACAAGCAAGCTTGCACAAAAGAAAAAAAAATTTTAAAATTTTTTACTTCCATGTATTTAGATACTTTTATGTACGAACGCATTGAACTTAAGTGTTTTGAATTGAAATATTAAACATAATAAAATTGAATTTAAAAAAAATGCATGTATTTAAGTAAGTGCCTTTTATTTTAATTTTCAGAATAAAGGCAAAAGCTCTGCTCTCAGAAGAATACCCAGCCTCGAATCAAATAAAATCTTTCTTTGTTTGAAACTTGATTAAAATTTCGACATTTTCTACCAGTTGAAGAAGTTTATTTACATTTCCTGTATCAATATTTCCAGTTAGCCACTGAAATATCTAAGTTATCTTTGCCAACAATATGTCAAAATAAGATATTAATACTGTCAATCGTTGTCAATTGCTTGCAACATGCTGTACGTTTTTGAAATGACAATATTTGAGATGCTGAAATAAGAAATATATTACGCAAATAAATAAATTATGCGAAGAAAAAATAGTAAAAAATAAGCCAAAATGCAATGAGAGGATATAAAAAGCAATTAATTTAAAACACAAAAACATAAACTCAAGTCAAATAAGAGTGAATGCGACCGCAGCGGTACTAACGAAAAGTGCGTAGGTAGGACTCTTACCGTGATGCAATGAACATTCAGAAGTGATAGAAGAATCTACTGTTTTCGAGTTTGACAGATAATGGCAAACTGCCGAGTACACTTTTGCCATGAAACCGTCTGCCGATTGGAGTCGCAGTAAAATTACGGGTTCTTTTATTTGACTGGGACCAAACCAGATATGTACACTAGATCGTACTACATTACGAGTAAACAAAACAATAGTTAAGAAAAGAATTTTTTTTTTTGCCGAACCCAGGGTTACATTTTTACATGTTTCGGTGATACCTACATTCAGCAATAAAGAAGATTGTTAAAGACTTGGGTGGGATACTCAGATCCGAATGTAAATGCCGAACATATATCGCCAAAATTTAGAAAAGCAACCTCTACGTTCGGCAAAAGAAATAAAATTTACTTCAAATCGAAATATATAGTTCCTTAGCAAAAGTTTAATGATTATTGGCGAGCTTAAATATACTGACTTAAGTTGATGCGTTAGGGTGGCAGGAACTGAGATCTGGTGGGTAAGTACAATCACGGACTACTCGAACTCAATGAACTTTACGACAAAAAACCCGTATCCTTGACACAAGAAAATCGATATATCATAATTTAAGATGAAAAATGTCGAACCCTGTATTCGGCAGTGTCCTTAAAAAATACTTCAGAATAAAAGGTGTACAGCGATATTTATTTGTGGTACGGTCTAAAGCCGAGAGATCTCGTTTGACCAAATATTTGCTTAGTTTGGCGTAAGCCAAACAGTGTCCTGTAAAAATGCTTGCGACGATTCTTAACTTCTACTTTAGCAGGAAAATCTGCGTTGTTCTGTTGAACGCCGACTTCTGCTCTGTGGCTAAGTGGATAATCTCTTGCTTTATAATTACCTATAGCGCTAATGACCCTATATAAGCTCCCCGTTTGTATTTTAAGCTGAAATACGCTTTTCTCTATTTCGAGTTCAATGATCGTAACCAGGATAGAAATACGTCTAAATATGCACAGTTTGTTGTATATTTCTTTTCTCAAATGACTGAAAAGCTTCTACATGTGGCATATTGTCAAAGGTCCTGGCTACTGGCCAGTAAGCAAGAGCCGATCTCTTCAGAGTGTTTGCCCTGAGGTTTGTCTACAGTCATCTCTATTGCTTTTAGCACAAAGCAGGTTAAATATATTGGTGTGAGAGATTTGTTAGCAAGCGTTCATTTCTTTCAATCTTCGGGACGAAATATTACTCTACCTTTGATAGAGCGAGACTGTTCCTCATGATGATCACCAGGTGAGGCGGTAGAAGCTCTTCCTCCTTTTATGGTAACACTGCTTAAGTTGCAATAAACTCTATAGCTCTGAAAAGAAAATATATATCCGATCG